CCCATGTCCCCTGCATCGGCAGGCAGACTCTCAACCACTGCGCCACCAGGGAAGCCCCATCAACTAGTTTTATATCTAACTTTGCAATCTTACTTCAACATTCTGTCCTTGACTGTAAATACTTCAGTCTCTCCTGTACTCATTTAAACCAGCTTAATCATTCTGCTCGTTCCCTTATTAATGGAATCAATCAATCTTTTGAATTCTTTTTTTTTTTTTTTTGCGGTACGCAGGCCTCCCACTGCTGTGGCCTCTCCCGTTGCGGAGCACAGGCCATGGCTCACGGGCCTAGCCGCTCCAAGGCATGTGGGATCTTCCCGGACCGGGGCACGAACCCGCGTCCCCTGCATCGGCAGGCGGACTCTCAACCACTGCGCCACCAGGGAAGCCCTAAATCAATCTTAACATGTTCATTTTGTACTTGTATGAGTCATATTTTTAAGGTTAAAAGTTATACTTTGACAATATAAAAACTAAAAACATGTAAAACATTGCTATGTATGGTATATGTGTGTATGTGTGCTATATATAAACACATGATAAAAGTATAAAGAAACACAAGGAAAACAACAAGGTCCTACTGTATAGCACAGGGAACTATAGTCAACATCCTGTGATAAACTATAATGGAAGAGAATATGAAAAAATAATGTATATATGTATAACCGAATCACTTTGCTGTACAGTAGAAATTAACACATTGTAAATCAACTATATTTCAATAAAATAAATTTTTAAAAAAGAAATACAAGGAAATAATAAGCACCAAATTCAAAATAGAGGTTTCCTACAGTGTGGGGAATATAGTCAGTGATGGTGACAAAGGTGGTTAAAAGTTACAAACTTCAGTACTAGGGATGTAATATACAACATGATTAATATAATTAACACTGGTATATGTTATACATGAAAATTGTTAAGAGAGTAAATCCTAAGAGTTCTCATCACAAGGAAAAAATGTTTTTCTCTTTTAAAAATTTTTTTACATGAGATGATGAATGTTTACTAAACTTACTGTGTTAATCATTTCACGATGTCAAATCATTAAATTTATAAGTGCTGTATGTCAATTATATCTCAATAAAACTGGAAGGAAAAAAAAAAACCCAAAATGACTTCCTTATAAGGGGATAAAGAGGATGTGATGTGGAAGGGGCACCAGCGGGGGCTTCATCTATTTTGGTAATGTTTTATTTCTTCATCTAGTATTAGGCACATGTGTTTCTATTATTTTATTCTATATACATTCATCATAAAATATAAAAGTTTAAATTGTATGGGAGGGCTTTCCTGGTGGCACAGTGGTTAAGAATCCGCCTGCCAATGCAGGGCACACGGGTTCGAGCCCTGGGCCGGGAAGATCCCACATGCCACAGAGCAACTAAGCCCGTGCGCCATAACTACTGAGCCTGTGCTCTAGAGCCCGCGAGCCACAACTACTGAAGTCCATGTGCCTAGAGCCTGTGCTCCGCAACAAGAGAAGCCACCGCAATGAGAAGCCCATGCACCGCAACAAAGAGTAGTCCCTGCTCACCGCAACTAGAGAAAGCCCGCATGCAGCAATGAAGACCCAAAGCAGCCAAAAAAAAAAAAAAATTGTTTGGGAGCACATTAGGACAGCCTTTCCTCTGTGTTTTACCTTTGCAGCAATCAATTTATACTGCATGTATACTGTGTGACTTGATGTATACTGATTATTTGATGTGTTTATATTGTATTATCTGATTTCTTATATATTGTCTTTCTTTTTCCAGTTTTGTTGAGAAATAATTGACATACATCACTGTATAAGTTTTAGGTATACAACATGATGGTTTGGCTTACATATTCACAATATATTCTGAATTGATTACTGTTGTGGGTTTAGTTAACATCCATCATCTCATACAGATACAATAAAAAGAAAAAAAAATTCTCCTTGTGATGAGAACTCTTAGGATCTACTCTCTTAACAACGTTCCTATATATCACACAGTAGCTTTAGCTATAGTCATCATCTTGTACCTTATAGCCCTAGTACTTATTTATTTCGTAACTGAAGTTTGTACCTTTCAATCACCTTCTTCCAATCACTTCCCCCCCCCACACACACCCCATCTTCTTTATTATTTTATGACAATCAGGGAGAGATTATTCTTCAAAGCTTTTAACTGGAAGTTAAAGGAAGTTAATGATACATAGGTGGCATGTTTGAGTGGGACTATTTTTGTAAGAGGTCAGTATATTAGTGTATATTTTTCTCTTGTAAAAACTTCTGTTGTCTGTATGCAACCTTGTAACTGTGACTTGAAAAACAAACGCTTGAATAATGAGAATCATGAGTACTTCAGACATTTTATTTAATCCTCAAAACACCTGTGTGAAGTAGCTATATTAATTTCATTTTCCAAATGATGAAACAGAGCTGCAGAAAGTCACCCAGGGAGCAATTCTGAAGAAATAAGACCCTCATCTGCTCTAATAAAAAGGTCCAGTGTATATTCAATCTCTTGCTTCAAATCTTAGCCACATTTTTTAGAATTTCCTTCCCTTAGGGCTTTGGCAAGGTAAAAAGCAGAAGCACAGGAATCAAAAGCTCTTCTTGGATTTTGCAAGAAAATTTGCGTTCAGACCCTAGCGGTTGGGAAGTGACTTCAGCTGGGGAGGAGAAGGGACATGAGGGTCGGAGGAAAGGGGGAAGGGCCGGTGGAGAGAATTTTTCACCTGGGGAAGGAATGAAAGCTGCTCTTGGTCAGATCTGGGAGGACGCGAAACGTGCTGCTCAGGGCTTGGGAGGAGAAGCTACTATCTGTATTTAAATACTAATTAGTAATTAACCCACCATCTGGAAAGAGTTAATGCCATTTGAAAAAAAATTTATTTGGCAAAAAATTTGCTTACACATTTTGAAGATTTCTTCATTGGTGGTTTTCTTTCTCTGCAGTAAGAAGAAAGAAGTTACCCTAATTTGCTGAGTTCTCTTTTGCACACAAGAGTGTTCACTTGGTCTTTAACCATAAAAATTTTTCACGGGAATAATGAGGGAATTTTTAAAAGGGGAAAAGTAAGTTGACCTACTTTTGAATAATAAACGTTTATAAACCTGCCCTGAGCACCCCCAGACGGCAATGAGCACGCCAAAAAGAGCTTGAAGGGAAGCAAATGAATCCACGATGCCTGTAAAAGTGAGATTTGTGACCTCTGACCAGAATACAATCGAAACCCTGAGAACATAATAATCATTTACCTTCCCGTAGGTAATCCTGACATTTTTGGCATCTTGCGTGAAATTGGAAACATTCCGACGAGTTCTGGCGAAGCTCTCCGCACAGCCCTCGGCCCCGCACGGGCAATGCCGTCCTACTCAGGCCGCCGTGGGCGGAGTCTACAAGTAACAGCATTTTCACATCAGTGTCGTTAGAGAGTTTGAACTTTAAAGGCATGGATAGAATGTCATTTCTCTTTCTAACCAGCACTTGCAAAATCTTTGTTCTGTATTCAATCGTAGGAGTGCATACTGGTGCAACCAGTTACTAGGACAATTTGGCATCTATTAAAAAGTGCATGTATTGGGCTTCCCTGGTGGTGCAGTGGTTGAGAGTCCGCCTGCGAAGGCAGGAGACACAGGTTCGTGCCCCGGTCCAGGAGGATCCCACATACCGCGGAGCGGCTGGGCCCGTGAGCCATGGCCGTTGAGCCTGCGCGTCCGGAGCCTGTGCTCCGCAGCGGGAGAGGCCACAACAGTGAGAGGCCCGCATACCGCAAAAAAAAAAAAAAGTGCATGTATCCTTTAATCCAGCAGTCTCATTACTGTCATTATTACTCATCATTACTATTATTACTACTTGCTTTCCCCAAACCCCACTCCCCACACAGAGGTTAATGCATATAATTTTATTTTCAGGAAGGAATCATGAGGAATTATTCATAGTAACTCTATTGGAAGAGAGACTTGATGGGGTGGGAGAAGGCAGCTTTCATTTCTTTTGTTCCTTTGTATATTTAAATTATTTTAAATTTAGTGTGTCTTATTTTTATCATTATTATTTCTGATATCATTGGGGTTAACTAGATAGGGAATTGTAAGCCACTTTTCTCTTTGGGCTTCTATTAAAATTTTTTCTAGTAATTATTTTAATTTTTTCAAGCTGTAATTCAAATGTGTATTGGAGTTCCAAAGATATTGGAAATGTCTGTTTTTTAAACTGGGTGGTAGGTATTTATTACTATTCTTTTTTGCATTTCACATATATAATGTTATAAACAGTAAGTCAAAGATTTAGGAAAACATCTAAAGCAGATCAACTTTTAAGAAACTCTTTTTTTCCTGGAATAATTAACCATCCATATAAAAATGATGTAAAAAGAAGTCGTCCAACAGCAAATTGACAATTCCCAATTGAGTGTTTCACATTAGGAAAAATTTGTTATTAATTTTTAACCTGATGATATTCTGTTATATTAAATCTTTGATGTTAAAAAATGAAACATTTCGAGATAAATTGTGAAGTTTACTGGGACTTCCCTGGCAGTCCAGTGGTTAAGACTCTGTACTTCTACAGCAGGGGGGCAGGGGTTCAATCCCTGCTCAGGGAACTAGGATCCCGCAGGCCGCGTGGCACAGCCAAAAGCAACAAACAAAAAATGTGAAGTTTATTGTTTAAAAACCTACGAGGCATTTGCTAGATCATCTGGTGGGTAAGGCAGCCAACCACTTGGTTGAATAGGAGTCATTTTCTCCCATTCCCTATAGATTTAGTGGCATCTCCTCTCACCCCAGAGAACCCCTGTGAGTTCTACTGTAGAGCAATTCTGCATTATGTGCCGTTAATTTTGTCTTCTCTATTAGACTCTGAGTCGTTTGAGAGAGGGGATTTGGTCTTGTCATTTTAATCTTGTCATTCTTCCATAACTTCCTCTGTCATTTCACTTAAGATATGGTAGTGCAACTGTTCACTGACCTGTTTTTCTTTCTCTGGACTAAACTCCTAAAAGTTAGGGGCTGTGTCATCTCTGTCATAATCATTGCTTATTCACAGCATCTAGATGAATACTTGGTATATTCAAGGATGGCAAATTGAGGGCTATCTGAACCAATTCCCCATGCTATACTCATGAGAGTAGCCCATCGCCTACCTTCGGCCATGCCAGAACAGAGCCTGAGGGCCCTTCTAGGCAGTTACTTCTAGTAAATCATCTACCCTCCCAACTTGCCTGTTTCCCCCATGGGAAAATTAAGGACGGCAAAATTCTCCAGGGCAGGATTAAAACCCAGAACTCCCAGCTCCCAGCACCCAGCACTGTGTGAAGCTACTACACCACAGTTTTACTGAATGGATCTTATCTATTCTCTCTAGGGATTTGTAAGCCAAGTGAGGACAACTGCAAAAGCTATCTTATTCTGTTTCAACAGATTCAGCAACTGAAGTCTAGAAAGAACAAAGTAGGAAAGAAATTCTTTCATATGGAGACTAAAATGAAACAACACTCAATAAAATTAAAAAATATATTAAACAAGATATTTCATATTTTTATCACCTTTTTCCTTTTAACAGTGTTCATTATTCAATTTTAGCTACTTTTCTAATTTTGGCTCTTGGGATGATCATGACAAATAAAGCCTATCTGTGAAGGCTGCCAGATACCTAGTTTACACTCAGAAGATATTAACCACTGTAATTGACAGGAGGCAGCTTTCCTATTGATATTGTAACAGATTCCACAGATTTAGTGGTTTGAACAACATAGATTATTTTACAGTGCTATAGGTCAGAAGTCTGAAATGGGTCTCAGTGGGCTAAATGAAGGTGTTGGCAAGGCTGTTCTTTTCTGGAGGCTCTAGGGCAGAATCCATCTCCATGCCTTTCCAGGGTCTGGAGGCCACCACCCCCCTTGCCTCCTGTTCCCCTTCCTCTATCTTCTAAGCTGGCAAAGTAGGGACAAGTTCCTCTCGTGAGGCTGTCTCTATTGATTCTTTTCTGCCTCCTTCTTCTACTTTTAGGAGCCCTTGTGATTTCACTGGAGCCACCTGGACAACCCCAAATACTCTCCCTACTTTAAGGTCAGCTGATTAGCAACCTCAATTCCATCTGCAACCTTACTTTCCCCTGCTGTGTAACCTAACATTTTCACAGGTTCTGGGGATTAGGATTTGGGTATCTTTGGAAAGCTATTATATTATTCTGCCTACCGCAAGGGGCAAAGGTTTATTCTCATTAGGTGGATTTTCTAGGGGCAATAGGTTTATTTCTCACCTACCACCAGTCCAGAAAAGTGATGGAAACTACATGCAAATACCCCACAGCCCCTGCCTGCCTATTTTTGATAAACTGTCCTCATGTACTCATCTGGGAAGAGAATCTCTCCTCTGTTGAGCTTGCTATCTGGTTAGGGTAGGGACACTGGAGAGAGAAGAGTATAAAGGTGTAACAAAGGCTTTTTTTGTTTGCTGTTTTGTTTTTGTTTTTACTTTCTGCACTTGCAGGGGACCCTGGATCTCTAGATTATCACTGAGGTGATGGTGGTGCAAGGAAGGAATTGACTAGTTTAGATTCCTCATGTAAGTGGGATATAATATTTGTCCTTCTGTGTCTGGCTTATTTCACATAGCATAATGTCCTCCAGGTTCATCCATGTTGTCACAACTGGCGGGATTTCTAGAAGGAGCCTGTTTCATTTTTTGTTAGAGAAGAGCATCCCTGTCCTTCACTTAATGTTCCATAGAGATATGTCCAAGGAAACACAGATTCTACCTGTGGCCCACACGGCAACTCTCGTTTCTGAGATGCTGCCTCCCAGGCTCTCCACAGAAGCCCAAAGAAGTTACCTCCTCTGCCTTAACAACATAAAGCAGCATTGCTTTTTCCAATATGGAATATCAGAGTGGTATTTGTAGAAGGTGATTATTATCATTTACAGAAATTTCTACAGTCTTGGGTTTGTCTCTGAGTATTTTCTCTGGTTTTGTGCATAAATGATGTGATCTAAGGGATTACAGTAGCGATGCAGAGGAGGTCATGGAAGGCACTAAATGTGACCTGGTTTTACATGGCACTAAGCTTTCTCCCCAAACTGGAAGTTGAGGAGCCTGGACTGATTTTAAAGAAACCCCATGGTGTTCAAGCAGAATAGAGCCAAGCATCTGCCTGAGTTTTTTTTTTTTTTGTGGTACGCCGGCCTCTCACTGTTGTGGCCTCTCCCGTTTCGGAGCACAGGCTCCAGAAACGCAGGCTCAGCGGCCATGGCTCATGAGCCCAGCCGATCTTCCCGGACCGGGGCACGAACCCGTGTCCCCTGCATCAGCAGGCGAACTCTCAACCACTGCGCCACCAGGGAAGCCCTGCCTGAGTTTTAATAAAGGAGGCAACTGTCTTTTTCAAGTTCTCACCTTACCAGGGTTTTCTTTCTCAGCTTTGAAAATTTGCTTTAGAAATAGAGAACAGCCCCACAGAGCTCTCGACAAAGACGGGAGAAGGCTAGTGTTTGGCAGACCTCAAAGCTTTTTCTAAGAGGCTGTGAGACTTTGATTATCCATAAACCATCACTCTCAGGAACATTGTACAATGACTTAGAAATGGCTACCAGTTCCAAAGTTAAATAAAACTCAACTTTAGTACAGATATCTAAATAATCTTTTAATACTTGCCTTTATCTTGTTTTGATAAATCCTCGATTGCCTTCAGCATCTCAGTAACTGTTGCACTGACACTTTGATAAATAGAGAGACTGAAATTACAAAACAGCTGGAAGAAGCTGGGAATGTCCCAGCTTTGCACAGGATGTGCTTTTTTTGCTGGCTCTTTGGAAAAAGCTGGAAAAAAGTAAGGCTCCATGAAGTCTGTATCTGACGTGAAATATGATTGAAAAGCCTGGTCAAATTCTTGCTGCATCTGTTTGAAGACGTCAAAACTCCTGTTATAGAGAAATCCCACATCCACAGTCAGTTGGCTGAACATGTTCTCTATCTGGGTCAGTTGTGCATCTTCCTCAACGAACTTCTCACCGATGGGAAGGTCTTTTTCATTATCTTCATGGAAAGGAAACAGAAACTGATATATCTTCCTGAAAAAATGTTCAAGCTGTAGGGTGGGATGGGGGACAGAAATGAAATAAATTAATTTTCTTTTGGACTATTTTTTTATTGTGAATTTTTATGTCAACTTACAAGTAGTCATTCCAAATCAAGAACAGTTCTGGGCAAACTAGGAAAACGTGATCCACTTTAAGATAATTTATTAACATTCATGTACCTGGCTTTGACTTTGACTATGGAAATAGGGTCTGAAGTTCCTCCTGGTTTCTGTTTGTCTACCAAGGCCTAAGAAGGCCAAGTTTTCAATATTATTGACAAGCCACAGTCCTGATGTACTGGTGGTGGTTGGCATGCATGGTTTTAGACCGTGCAGCCTGAAAACTGTGAAGAAGGCTCTTGTCTTTCACCTCTGCCTTAGTTCTTCTTTTTTTTTTCCTTCAGTGGCATGCTATTCGTGTCTTTATGCTCTCCTCTCTCTCATCTCATAAATTAGTCCAGGGAAAAGATCAATACATTCACACTGAACTATAGATGCTTAATACAGCTAAATAGGTTACTTCGAGATGTTACATATTACCAGTGATCAAAGCCCTCCTTGGCTGTAGCCAAAGGAATGAAGCTCTAATTATAGAATTTCCTATTCAGGGGGAGATCTTCCAGCAGTCACACCATGTTCTACTTCATCTATGTGACACATAAGTTCGTGCCAGAACACAGTTGCCCTTGTATGATAGTGATATGACCCTGTTGTATGTTCTGGAATGTAGCAACCATCAAACATCACTGTGGGAGCACTCCCCACCCCTGCTCAAGGGCTGTTCAAAGAATTCTCCAGGGATTCTTAGAAGACTCATGCCTTTCTCAAAAAGTAATCTGGGTGGATCATCTGCCTCTCCCTCTGCCAGCTTCTGTTTACCTGAACCCAGCCACAAAAATGAAACTTTAAAGGCCCAAGAAATTGTCATAAGGTCACACAAAAGGTGCAGATAGGAATTGTCTCCAAAGCTCCTGACTTCCAGCCAGTGCTCATTCCAGTATACTCTGGTATGTTAGAGAGTGGCTATAAAAATAGAGCAGGTGCAATTAACAGTGGAGGCAAATTAACTTGGCATATGAATTATCCTAGGGGTTGTTCCTTCTGTAATTGGGGAAGGCACTGCCAAGCCAGGCGCAGACTCTGATTACTGCATGCTCTGATATGTAGAGGGGAATTTCTCTGCATTGCCTACTCAGCCCACTTCTTGAAGGGGAAGGGAAATTCAGGCCAAGAGAAGAGGAGCCTTTTATGGGTCAGAGCTCATCCTAATCAGGTCACCACCCTCTGTGATTCCCTCTGCCCAGAAGAGAGCCAAAGAGGACAAAAAAGAAAACATGCCAGTCCTACAGGATGTGCATGGATTGTGGTAAAGGGGACGTGAATGTGGGGACGTGTGTGCACGGGCATGTGTGTGCTGCCACAAGAGGGCAAGCCCGTTGAAGGAGAGACTCAGGAGGCAGAGGACGCCTTCAAAGGCTTGGCCTCCAGAGAAAACACTAAAGCAGGTTGAAATCAGAGACTATAATGCTATTATTCAGAATGCAATTCAGCAAACATTTATTGAATGCCTACAATGCTTAAATGAAGGCAGATAAGATATGGTTCCTGCCCTCAAAGAGCTTACAATCTAGTGGGAATGTGTTCATAAATAACAAATACAAGGCAGAAAGAGTCAGGGTGTTTCTGAGAGATACACACAGTGTCCTGAAAGGGAGGGCAAGCACTGGATGGCTGTTCTAACTTAAAAATTATATATCCACAAGTGATTCATACATAAACATGAATGCTAGATTCTAGGTTGCAAAAGGCCAACATCAGATCATCCATATCTATTCTAAATATTAACATAAGTTAATTTTTAAAAGTAAGCTGAAGCACATACCTTAAGAACTTAGAAACCTTGAGCTCTATTTTTCCCTTACCTTGTTTTTCATAGAGGACCAACTGTTTTGGCAGGTTGTATAAAATCTCATGCAGTTACTTTCCAGGCAAGATTTGCATTCATCCCAGGAACCTGTCAAAGACACCTGGCATAGCCTTTCTTCCTCTTCTAGATGTTCTTGAACTTCATTCATAAGTTTCAGAGCCTCCTAATTAAAAAGTAGAAACACACACCCTATTTCCATTTCATGACTCTATGTGTTGTACCTTAGTTGATTTCACGCTTTACAAAATGTGCGTATTCTAAACTAAACCTCTGGGAACTCCCTGGTGGTCCAGTGGTTAGGACTCAGCACTCTCACTGCCAAGGGCCCGGGTTCCACGATCCCTGGCCAGGGAACTAACATCCCACAAGCCCTGTGGGGCAGCCAAAAATTAAAACAAAAACAAAAAATACTAAACCTCATTCCTTCTTCAAGCCCTTAGCGTCTACCAGATCTACCCTGAAGCTTTCTGTTAACTTAAGAGCACTGCTTGATCTCTATTGAAGACCGGGCAGTTCTTATTCACCTGTTAATTTGTACAGTCAACAGCTATTTATTGAGTGCTTGCTATGGGATGGACATTCACTGCCTGTGGGTGAAGCAACAATGAAGACACAGCCCCTACTCTGCTGAATGACTGTAACTGATCTGTTTACTTGTCTGTCTTCACTTCTAGTCCTTGAAGGATGTGGAAGATGGGTTTTTAAGGCTTACAAAGTTGACACATTTATTTCCTTCATTTATGCTGCTTTTAATTTTTGTATGTTCTTAAACACTGCAAGGAAGCACAATTCTTGTGTATCAAGTCAAATCTTGTATATCAAATTCCTGTGTACTGTATATCACAATTCTTGTAGTGAGTTGCATCCTAATAGCAAAGATGCTGTATTCTGAGGGGCTTCATTCTTCTCATCCACATTCCAAGCACTCCCCCTTGTGGTGCCTGCTGTACTCGGCCAGGTCCCGCCCAGCAGAAGCGACACCTGTCCCTGAGAACGTCAACCCTGCCCCCAGAGCTCCCCCCAGGCCAGCCCCACGTAGACCCCCCCACCCCCGTCTCCCTGCAAGTGTGGGCTTCTGCAGACCGGCTCCCTCCAGGCCTGAGAAGTAGTTCAGGGGATTTAGGGGATATAATGGACCTGTCCATAAGGAGAAAGCCTCAGAGCAGATGAAGACTCCCTTAAGTGAAAAAAAACACAAGGGAGCACAGTTTCTAACATCAATGTAGTATGCACTTTTACCTATGGGAAAAGAAAAAGAAATCACCCTTTCCTGGCATATTAAGTCCAAAGAAACACCTGGGCACTGACAATCCCCGCACATTTCCTCTGCAGGGCTTGGATTTTTCAGCTGCCCTCATGACAGAATCCTGGGGCTAAGCTGGGTGTCATTTGCTACGTCCCACATAAGAAACCTGGCAGGGCTCCAGTCTGCCAAATGCACCTCGTGATCCAGACAGGTTTAACTTGTCTCTTTGGGCTTTGCAGAACAATTTTGGAATCCTACAACTTCTCAAGAAATGTTGCCTCACCAGGACAGGCAACAGTACTGCCCAGATTTTCTCAATCAGTCTTTTAAATATTCTGCCCATTGTCACTATAAACTGAAATCTCAGTATTTCCAATTACAAACTACACTCACTGTGGACCCTTGGGCAAATTATTTAATATCTCTGAGCCCCTGTCTCCTTCTTAGCAAATAGGAATAACTGTAGAATCTACCTCTTAAGGTTTCGTACTAAGTGAGATGAGCAAGCAAGGCACATAGTCCGTAATCATTTGATTTCCTTCCACTCACCTCCAAGAGTGTAACAAGAACCAATGACCAAATCACATGGCCCAAGTTTTGGTACTGAAATGTTGCCATGGAGGAAGAAGGTCTCTGGTTTAGGAATGCCTTGTCCATGCCTTCTGCTTCTCCCTAAATGTCCCACCCAGCGATAGATTCCATACTTAGAACTCTCTTCCTGCAGTTCAAAGTCCCACACAAACCTGGATGGGGGTGTGGGGCGTGGGGAATCACTTGAAGCTGCTTTAGGGTTTCCCACTTTAGTAAGAGCAAGTTTCAGATGCTCCCACTAAATATAAATAGGGAGAACCTGATGAGGAGGATCGAGATTACACTGGATCACCTGAGGATGGGATGTGTTTTGTTCTGGGAGACTCGGGGGCACCCACCCCATATTTGTCAGTTCGTGATTTGTGTGAAGTATCCTTTATTTTAGATTGAAAATAATTTTAGGGAGGGAAACTCAGGGTTAAACAGGTGTTTCCTTTTTTTTTTTTTTTTTTTTTTTGCAGTACGTGGGCCTTTCACCGCTGTGGCCTCTCCCGTTGCGGAGCACAGGCTCTGGACGCGCAGGCTCAGCGGCCATGGCTCACGGGCCTAGCCGCTCTGCGGCATGTGGGATCCTTCTGGACTGGGGCACGAACCTGCGTCCCCTGCATCAGCAGGCGGACTCTCGACTACTGCGCCACCAGGGAAGCCCGGTTTTTCCTTTTTTAAATGAATTTTTAAATGAGTACCCAAACCTTAAGAGTATAATTCAATGATTTTTTAAAAAATAAAATAAGTACGTCTTAAGAAATAATAAAAATTCTACTAGCTCCTGGGATTCTTCAGGGTCAGAAATGGAACTAACACTTGCTAACCTGACTTACACCAAGCATTCTTTCCATAGCATGTGCTCCCTCCTTGGCTTGCCAGGAGGCCCGGGAAAGGGAGAAAAACAGAAAGTCACTGGGTCTTCCACAGGCACAGCGCCAGTGGACTTTCTCCTGGGTCAGTCATGACAGGGTCACAACATTGTAAAGCAACCATACTCCAATAAAAATTTAAGACAACAACAACAACACATTAATTAACATCTCAAAACTCAGTTTCCTTAGCTGTAAAATGAAAGTGATGGTTTACTCAGATGTTGGAAGGACTGCAGGTGATGATGTGTTTTATAAAGGGCCTGTGAATGATATCTAGTGTGGTTATTCCCGGTGGCCAGACTCACAAGCCCACCAGGGAAGAACACAGCTAGAGGGGCTTCCACATTTTCCTCATGAGGAGCTGGTTTTCATTTCCTCAAGGTCTTTTGATCTCTGCCAAAAGGGAGGAGGGCTTCCAGCTGCTGGTCAAGCAATCTCCTTTCCTCGACAGGGACCCTGTGTGGTACAGGGAGAGGGATGGCTGCAAAATCAACCAGCTGGTGACAGGCTGACTACAGCTCTGGGGTCCCAGCCTGTGATGTAGCCCTGCTCCAATGGATCAGGGGACACCCAGTGGCCACTGTGAATTCCAGCAGCTCCAGAGCTTTGTAACCCCCAACTTTATAGGTCTACAGGTCTAGGTGTAGATCAAGGTCTAGAGAAGAGATATTAGAACTTGTATTTGTGTTTTTTAAATTTAAAAATCAACTATGGAAAGGAGAAATGGGGAGTTGTTTAATGGGTATAGAGTTTCAGTTTTGCAAAATGAGATGAATTCTGGAGATTGGTTGTCCAATAATGTGAGTGCATTTAAAAATATATATTTCTTTATTTATTTGGTTGAGCCAGGTCTTAGTTGCAGCTCGCTGGTCTTAGTTGCGGCATGCATGCAGGATCTAGTTGCCTGGCCAGGGATCAAAGCCGGGACCCCTGCATTGGGAGCATGAGTCTTAACCACTGCGCCACCGGGGAAGTACTGTGAATGTATTTAATACTGTTGAACTGTACTCATAAAAGTGGTTAAGATGGCAAATTTTATGTTATGCATATTTTACCACAATTAAAAATGTTTTCATGAAAATAAAATTTAAAAGTAATTTACTCCCAATTTTAAAATTTAAAATATTTTCCAAATTATTTTTATAGTTTTGATATTCTCTATAAGGGTATGTTGGAAAATAAATTTAAAAATTTTTTAACTGTTCTGAGTGTTATGTTAATGGTTAATGATATTAAACTATGAGCCATGCAATGTCTATAATTTAGAAATGTATTGAGCTTTATACTGTAACATATGAAGAGTTTTTAATATGGCCCATAGACATTTGAATATAATGTATATTCTCCATTGATAAGATACATAGTTTGGACAACAACTATTAAGTAAAGGTATTTGAATTAAAAAAGTTGATGAGGCTGATGTACTATTTCACATGCACTGGTGCTTGTGTCAGGCCATTGTGTGTGGCCAGCTGTGCGTGAGGACCCTGCGGAAGAGACACTGGTTGCCTCTCTCTGTTCACTTGGAGCCAATTGCAATGACTTGCCATTTAAGAGAACTCAGGTAAATGATGTTTTTTAACTACTTTTAACTAAACTAGCCCTCACAAAATGAACAGGAGGCTTTAAAAGTTTCTTGAAAAAAAACCCCAGCAGATTAAAAAATATGAATAACTTAAGCTCAAGTAGATAAGAAGCAAATGGCAGGGCTGTCACTTTTTCATTACAAGCTCTTTGGCCTTGTGTCAGTAAAAATATGATGATCTAATCAGATTTGGCAATAAGCTAAAATATTTTCAAAATATCTAGATGATTTGAAATATGGACTTACATCTACCCAAGCTAATGATGATCCCTAAGTGCATTCTGTGCCTTGAGATAATAACGGTAGCAATTCATGTGTCTAATTTAATAAATAAATTAAAATGCATATATTCAGGAGTGGATGCTAACAATAATTATGGTAATAGGGATGGGAAAGAAAAAAACTTTGGAGGCCACTGATGTAGCCAAAAACTCCCAGACACTTTTGACACAATATCCCAACTCAAAAGGCACCAGTAAAGCATTTTTAAGAAAGCAGCACTTCCCAAACAAAGCCGAATCCCCCAAATTCCCGAGTTTGGAGGCCATCGAAGGCCTAATCTACAAGGAATATGTTCTTTGAAGAAATTTGAAATTTTCTTCAAACTCTTCCTCCAATAAGGGCTGCTCTCCAGAAAATCTATGATTAGGGTAAATAAGTAATTCCTCCAGTGCACTCAGACATGCACTTTTTATGGTCCAGATATAGTTAAGGACAGGTGTGATTTTCAATGACTGTACCTGCTTTTCTTCTCTGCATTTCTTCAGGGTTCTCATTAGGTTGCTATGTTCCTCCTCTCTTCTTTCCATCAGGATTTTCATTTGCTTCATGCCAGTCAAAGCCTTCTTCACCTCTTCATCTATATCTATCTCCCCAGCCTTGGAAAAACCTAAAAGATTACGATGTAGTTTTTTCCTTTGAGATCTGATCAGATTACAACGTATCAGAACACAATGAGTTCACCAACTTTTCATGTTCCCCCAGCAGAGGCTTAATTGTTTTGTTTTTTTTTTAACAGCATCAAACTTTGAAAGCAGATCACAATGATTTGGGCTGTCAGCTGCCACATGGACATGGCTACCACCCGGGTGATATCTTCTGTTCCTCACTTCTGAACTGCTAGCCAAGTCAGAGTTCATTTAACCCTATTCTTATCATTTTCCTCAGGGCCTGTTTTCATTTATCCAATTGTTTTTCTTTCCCTTAAAACTCAAGTGTGTTTATATTAGAAGAAAACATTGAATTTTCTTCACAGACAATTTATATTAAATGCCCAACTGGGAACCTTAAACAGAGTGAACAATTTCCTTTTCTTTCAGCTTCAGTTACCTTCCCAGGAGGCATAAAACCTAGAAAGCATCTTGTATAATGCAAGATTCTTTAATAACCTACTGGACATCTCTTACACCCCTTTAATAAGCCTTTAGCGAGTATGAAATTCATGGTTTGTCATTCTCTCTTCACAATAGCCAATGTGGCCACCAAAGGAGCTTAATCTGGCCTCCAAATTTAATTACAGATCCCCAAAAAAGAAACGTTTAGACTAATTTATTTTCCTGTTAAGTACTCAAAGCATATCTCATCAAGCAAAGGCCACAAGTTAATGAGCACAGACCAACCAGATTCAATGTCATTATAACCCATTCTTTCACTATCTCAAGAATAACTGCATGGATTACTTTAATTGTTTAAATTTTTCAAATGCTAGAAAAGAATTTCACTGTTCATTAAAACTGTGCTCAGAGGACACCAAACATCTGGATGAGACCAAGCAATGCAACTCAAAACGTTGGCAAGTTTTATCTCTGTGATGGCAAACATCTGGATATGTGGACCATTCTCAGAGACGCATTTGGAATTTTCTATTTTTATCCAGATGCTTGGCGTCTTGTCTACTTGGCTTAAGTGCCTGGAGAACATCTCACCGTGAAACTAGAGGGCATCCTGAATACGGTTATCTCTCAACTGTAAATCACCGTAAATGCCAGCAGGACATGCAAACAGGAAAACGGGACACAGTGCAGATAAAAAAACCAAACATTACCCTTCAGGCCTCCATGGATAGCAGTTTTGTCCTTCCACATAGGTGCACAGTGACAATCTTTCAACCACAGCAGATACACAATAAACACCAAGAGTGGCAGCTTCATGTTTCCGTTGTGACTGCAAAGGAAAAATAAACCTGCATCAAATGCCTTAGGTTAAGTTAGTTTCTACTGGCATCAATTGAAAACACATGGTGATCCAAAGCATTTTTCTGTCAGTTTTTCTTTATGACTTTAGACAATGTATGCTGATATGGCTGAGACATAAGGAAACCTGAAATCTAAATAAATTTTTTAAAAAGACAACCCAAGTCCCTATTTTGTTTACATTCTTCCTGACAGTTAAATAAGGTCATCATCTGAAGCATTTGAAATTTAGGGCAACCAATAGCATGGATAACAGCCCCATAGAATCCAAACTACATTTTATTTCCTTGTCAACAGTAAATATTCCCAAACACAGAATTAGGTATGTCAAAGGGACTGTTTTTTCCAAAATTCAGAGTCCACAAGTAAGTTTTAACCTAAATGGCTTACTACTTATTTTTTTATGAAAGCAAAAACCCCTCAGATTTTTCTCATACATCTTATAAAGTCCATCAGGATGTATGAATCATGCACAGTTAAATTTGTTTCTTCTCAGATAATAAATTTCCTTTTAAATTTAATTTGATAAATATTAGTTGCAAACATTCCAAGTAAAAATGTATGCTTTCATAAAGTTATATCTATAAAATAACTTAGATTATCATTCCTCCCAAAGGGGATATTTATCTGCTTTATGTATATTTTTTATTAAAAAAAAGCTCCATTATTTAATCAACATTTGGAATATCTTTTAAAAATACTAGTATTTACAAAGCTATCACATTTTATATCTACGGTTATCATTTGGACTAATTCTCTTTCTATTAAGACCCTATTTACCAAATGAAGTTTTAATATATTTACCACCAACTTTGCAGGCTCTCCCCAGTGAGGTTGTCACCAGCTTCTGGAAGGACCTTCACTTTTCTCTGATTTAATTTTTGTCTGTGTCAGGGATTTTGCCTTGTTCTATTAATTTGATGACACAGTTCTTAATCCTATTAACCTAGCATTTTGAGATTATGGTTTAAAATGCGGTAGGGTTTAGAAAGGAACAGTAGAGGGCGGGCTGTCTACACGATCTGGAACAATGACCTTGAGTTACTTTTATCTTACGCAGATTTTTTTTTTTTAATATGGAATGCTTCATGAATTTGTATATCATCCTTGTGCAGGGGCCAAGCTAATCTTCTCTGTATCATTCCAATTTTAGTATTTATATGTGCTGCCAAAGTGAGCACACACAATTTTTTTTTTAAGATTTTTTTTGATGTGGATCATTTTTAAAGTCTTTATTGAATTTGTTACAATATTGCTTCTGTTTTATGTTTTGGCTTTTTGGCCTCGAGGCATGTCTCACGAGGCATGTGGGATCTTAGCTCCCTGATCAGGGATTGAACCCACACCCCCTGGAAGGCGAAGTCTTAACCATTGGACTGCCAGGGAAGTCCCCACAAATATGTTTTGATAGGACTCATTAAAGCCTTAAAAAATATATATATATATATATTTAAATTTGAAATTTATGGGACTTCTCTGGTGGTCCAGTGGTCAAGAATCCACCTTCCAATGCAGAGGATGCAGGTTCAATCCTTTGTTGGGCAACTAAGCCTGCCCGCCACACCTACTGAGCCCACATGCTCTGGAGCCTGCGTGCCACAACAAGAGAGCCTGCCTGCTGCAACGAAAGATCCCACATGCTGCAACTAAGACTGGATGCAGCCAAAAAAATAATAATAATAATATAAAATAAATAGAATAGAAATTTATTCTATGTATATTCTTTTATAGGCCAAATAAATTTCTTTGATTGAAAGTATAAGCAACAATATGAAATAAAGTAAATGCTTAGTTAAAACATTTTGAGATAACTAATAAGGACCTACTATATAGCACAGGGAACTCTACTCAATACTCTATAATGACCTATATGGGAATAGAATCTAAAAAAGAGTAGATATACATATATGTATAACTGATTCACTTTGCTGTACAGCAAAAACTAACACAACATTGTAAATCAACTATACTCAATAAAAATTAATTAAAAAACATTTTGAAGATTATTTACATAGTCATTTGGCATTTTAAAAAATACATGCAAACACATTTTAACTAAAGTGATAACATTGAGCATATAACTGAGTATTTTACTACAATTTGATAATTGATTAGCTGAACTGAAAATTCAGCGAATGATTCATTTAAAAGCAATTCAGAGAGTCGCCATAGCCAGGTGTTGTCTGGGTCTCTCTGGCTACTGAAATCTCAAGATTGTCTTGGGCCCCCTTTGCAAGTTTTGAAGGATTAGCCAATCAATACTTATTAGGTACTCAATACTTTCTAAGCAGGTCACACTGTTTTGAACTGGTTCACCTGCCTTTCAGTGCCCTTAGAAGTTGATCCTTGTGTCTGAGTAACCTGCAGTCTGGAGTTTATCTCTGCTCTGCTTGGACATAGGGATGGGCAATTACAGGACACACGTGAAGTCCTGCCTACACCTCATTTCAGCTGTTTTGACTACCTGCTGAATCTCTGATTTAGTGGAAAACCTCTTAGCTCTGTTGGAAAACAGATCAGCTCAAAGCAAATTGACCTATTATTATTTTAAGAAGCCTCACGTCATTTTTGAGCAACTACAATCCACAGCTACAAACAGATGTGTCCTATCCTGAGAGGTGATTGGTTGGCCAAAGGAAGAAGCAGTACTTTGGGTATTTTTCTCAGGAAGAGGAGAGCACAGTTCTGGGAAAGTCAATCATAGGAAATTGTGCAGCATCAGTGCAAACTCTGACCCTGAGAACCTTTCTTGTTAGTTTGCTGTTGTCCAAGTTTGGACCCATTTGAAGTCCTGGCTGGCATCTACATGCTCTTTTTCAACAACCCACATTTTGTTGAAAGTGGAACCAATGTTTAGGAAGACTGGTGGTTCATTCTCTAGTGGTAGATTTTTTCTGTATTCCACGTTCCCCCTTTAAGTGTAATTTCCTAGAAGAGAACTTTATTCTTAACTAGTACTAATTACTTTTAAAATAGCCTGAAGCAGGGCTTCCCTGATGGTGCAGTGGTTGAGAGTCCACCTGCAGATGCAGGGGACACCGGTTTGTGCCCCGGTCTGGGAAGATCCCACATACCGCGGAGCGGCTGGGCCCATGAGCCATGGCCACTGGGCCTGCACGTCCGGAGCCTGTGCTCCGCAACGGGAGAGGCCACGACAGTGAGAGGCCCGTGTACTGCAAAAAAAAAAAAAAAAATCCTGAAGCTTCCAAAAACTTTCTTCCTCTAATTGTTTCAGCTGTTTTCACAGATGCCATTTTGTTCTTAAGATTAGGCAACACTTCATGTGAATCTGGTTACTTTCATAATATGACATCATTACATTCAAGATTTAAGTGGGTTGTAAAATATTATAGCTAGTCAGTAACTAAGGACACCTAGAAGCAAGGTCATCTTAATTAAGAAGGACAACAAAAAGAGGCACAGGGTATTAACTGAGAAATAGAGAAGTCAGACAGATGGACTTCAAAATGTCAGGTTTATTGTTGGTAAGTTTGGGTTTGGACAGAGCATCTTAGATGTGTGCCCATAATGGACTTGCTACTATGTCACCCCTGATTAGATCGGCCCACCCTGCCACTGGCAATAGCCAGACAACCTCTGGGCTTCCCTTCGGGTAACTACTTGGCACAGAGCAGGCCAGGAAGCCTGTGCCACTTGTGCTGTTTCTTCTGTGGAGCCCAACTCCAGGATACAATGTCCGTGGTCCGTGGAGCTGTGTAACCCGGCAGCCCTGCATGTGTCCTGTGGATAAGTTGGGATTTGCTGTCTTGCACCAGTGAGGTCAGAAAGGGGAGGAAAGAGAGCGAAGCCTTAATGCTTTTGCCACAACTTGGATTCTCCCGTGTGTCAAATAACCCACTCCTGCTTGGGAGGGAGTGTTACTCTGGCAGAAGCCCCTTCCCTTCCCACCAAAAAAAAAAAAAAAAAAAAAAAAAATCAAGGAGGGAATGCATAAGAGAAGTAAGTAAAAGACAAGAGCATAAAGATCCAAATAAATGACTTATGTAGATTATAATTAAACCGTGGGTAATTATTAGTCAAATCCATTTTACCTGCCTTTGCTAATCAAGGTCATTTTAAGACTTGCACATCCTCCAAGCAGCAGGCAGCTGAAGCAATAAGATGTTTGCCCAAGTTATTTTCCAGGTACTTGGAGTCAGCTATGTCTAGTTGGAGATGAGCTGGATAGGACAAAGCTGAAGTGGTTAACACTGGTTAGGACCACCAACCCTCCAACTGGGCATGTGTGAGTGTCCAGTCAGTGACGTTTCGATGTCAGAGGGCCAAAAACTCCACCCTCAGACCATGTTAAGCACCTCCAGTTTTGAATGTGCAGAGGCCTTCATAGAACGATGACGATTACCACACCTTTTCCCAAGCACTTTCCTCATGCTCCCCACGTTCCTTGCCCCTCAGACCATCCTGCTTCTTTATTCTTTATCTCCCAAATACCCCAAGGCCTTTGCACCCCAAAGGGGGAGGATGGTCTGAGACTTGTTCTCCCATCTCCTCACTTGACTGCCTTGTGAATAAACCTTCTCTTTGCTGCAAAACTTGGCAACTCAGTGTTTTGGCTTGCTGAGTGTCAGGCAAAATGAACCTGGTTCAATAACAATAGTAATAATTTCCCTAGCTCTGCTTCCTCCCTCCCTCCCTCCCTCCCTCCTTTTCTTCCCTTCTTCTTTCTTTATCTTCATCTATTCAGCCATTCATTTAATAAAATTAAAGATATAATTCACATCAAAGAGCAAAATTTTGAAGTAGACTGTAAATACTCTTTTTGGGCAAATGTTGGCCACCTCTAACAGAGAGGACCAATGGTGAAGTATAAAGTTCACTGATTTAAGAATCAGGTTCTGTCAAAATCCTTGCCTCGTGGTGGGCTCTGGATTTCTCTGTGCCCTCATCTAAAAATGAGAAATTATTGGAAGAAATAATCTCAACTCTTACTCCCAGCTCTAAATATCTGTGATTATTATTCATGTATTCTCATCAAGTTTCAACATAGTTTGAGTCCATCGGTAAAATAACACAGCCACCTTATCTCTTGTATAGAGTTACTGAACAGGTCAAATTAGTTAATACAAACGAAAATGATTTATTGAGCCATAGAGCACAATGTAATTGGAAGGTAGACCAACAACCTCTTTTAAAAAATTCAGACTAAACTAAAATGATTGTTTTAGGCTCATATAACATAGGCAGCAAAAGTAGGCATTGAATCCAGATTTCAAAATCTTTCATGCAAAAGACCAACCTTGAATATAATAAGAAGAATTTATATCCCATTTAACTTCATCATGAAATCAGAATTTATCAGAACAGACCAGCACCACAAAAATTTAATTATTGATCAGGATGTATATAAATACCAAATGCATTCTAGAATTTCCATGACACCAAGCACGGTTCTTCTCTTGTGTCCAGGGAGTTCAGTCTTGGAACAGCTCATTTATCAGCAAATGTATGTTGGGCAGCCTTGTGTTCCACACACTGAGGTTCTACGGACGTTGGGGCGAGACAGAATAGATGGTCCCTGCCCTGTAGGAGCTCCTGTTACATTCCAGGGGGAGGGAAGTGGACACCACGCAAATAAGTACCTAAGCAAGAACGTATCAGAGCGTGAAAGCTGTTACAAAGAAAATAAAACGGGATAAGGGGATTGCCTGTGTTTTGGAAAGTGGGGGCAGCTTTAGTCTGGGAAGCCAAGGGAGGCCTCTCTGAGGAGGGGACGTCTATCTAACACGATCCCTGAGAGCAGAGCCCAGTGCAAAATGGAAAGGTGAGGCCCCTCAGTTCAAAAATGAAGAATTTCAAGATGCTAACAGCGGAGCATTAAACCAATACGGGGCCACAGGGATGGGGGGGTGCAGGACTCATGCGCAAGAAGCAAGCCCTGCCTGAAAGATGGAATAGCAAGTGCAAGGGTAGGAACAAACCCTGCACGTTTGAGGAACTGAAAATAGGCGCACGTGGCAGAGGGCAGCGAGAGGAAGGGGAAGTAGGATGCTAAGAGGCAGAAAGTGCGGATCATGTAGTATGGCAGGGTCAGACATGAACAATTATTTTTAATAACAGGATCACTGTGGAGGATTTACAAAGGGCAATGATATGGTCTGATTGACTGGTTTTAACAGACCCCTGTGGCCACTGTGAAGGACTGATTATGGGACAGTCAGGTGGGAGGGGAACCAGGGGGGAGGGAGTTTCCATCACCCGGACAGATGGCCACACAAGGGTGGCTCCTTGGGTGGAGTGAGAAGTGGTCAGACTTGGGGCTTATTTTGGAGGCAGGACTGGATTGTGATTTGAGGGAAGGAGGAGAATCACTGGGGACTGCTGGGGTTGTGATGCTCTAAGGGTGTCCAGCGATGCCCTGCCCTGGATGAGAAAGCCTGGGGCGTGTAGCCCTCCCTCACTTCCCACGACTCCTGACCTGCAGCCTGGATTTCACTCTCTCTGCCAGTGGGAAGTTTTGTTGTTAAACGCATCACGGAGCTACTGATCACCAAATCCACGGCTTACTTTTTGTCCTCTTTCTTGTCCTCCACGTGGCATTTGGCACAGTTGACTAGCAACTACTATTTTTTTTTTTTTTTATAAATTTGTTTATTTATTTTTGGCTACGTTGGATCTTCGTTGCTGTGCACGGGCTTCTCATTGCGGTGGCTTCTCTTGTTGCAGAGCATGGGCTCTAGGTGCACGGGCTTCAATAGTGGTGGCTCGCGGGCTCCAGAGGGCAGGCTCAGTAGTTGTGGCTCACGGGCCCAGCTGCTCTGCAGCATGTGGGATCCTCCCGGATCAGGGCTCGAACCCATGTCCCCTGCATTGGCAGGCGGATTCTTAACCACTGCACCACCAGGGAAGTCCTGCAACTATTTTTTAAAGCAGCTGGTCTTTGGTATTACTGAACCATTCTCTCTGGGTTCTCCTCTTATTCCTCAGACTGTTCCTTTTATTTGTAGCAGGATGGGGTCCACCTTCCCCTTCATTCTTTTAATTCCACCTAGTCTCACTGGGTTCTCCGTCTTCTAAATCTCCTTTATCTCATCCATCCCAACCCCTCCGCAGGAAGAGTGTCTTTTAGGATAATAACAAACCGCAATTATGCTGTGAGAGGCAATGTATACTGCTCCCCCCGCAAGGGTGTGATAACACAGGCAGGTGGGAAGAGACCCCTGGGGTGAACCAAGCCAGGACCCCAGAGAAATGGAGAAGAGGCACATGTAAGGGAGACCAAGGGCACGTGACATGGACGCAGCACTGACCAGAAGTGATCTGAGAAGAGTGGTTGACACGTTACATGAACCTCTGGGTCCAGGCACATTTCTTTTTTTTAAAAATAATTCTACAGCATTTCTATTTATTGATTGATTGGCTGTGTTGGGTCTTCGTTTCTGTGCGAGGGCTTTCTCTAGTTGCGGCGAGTGGGGGCCACTCTTCATCGCGGTGCGCGGGCCTCTCACTATCGCGGCCTCTCTTGTTGCGGAGCACAGGCTCCAGACGCGCAGGCTCAGTAGTTGTGGCTCACGGGCCCAGTTGCTCCGCGGCATGTGGGATCTTCCCAGACCAGTGCTCAAACCCATGTCCCCTGCACCGGCAGGCAGACTCTCAACCACTGCGCCACCAGGGAAGCCCCAGGCACATTTCTGACTAGTTGCAGGTAAGTGTGAGCTGAGCCAGTTTGCCCAACCATCCTGCTGTAGATCCCCATGGCTGCGTTCCGTATTCTTTCACAGTATTTGCAGAGTGCCGGCTGTGTGTCAGGCACTTTATCAGACATTAGACACCTGCTCGGTCTTTTTCCTGACCTTCTTCCTCTGTCCCAGCCTTAGATGTTTATATTCCCCAGGATTCTCTTCTTGGGGAAAATGCCAAGCCACCCTCTTTGGCTGATGTGACCTGGAACCTCAGACACTCATAGCCGGTCTTCTACTGGCTGCCTCTCGGACTGCATGGCCCACAGGGATTTCAGACTCAACAGTTCCTAATCCAGCTTTTTCTCCTCAAGCTTGCCTTACCATGGGATCCCAGTCACCAGATCCAGACATTTGGGAATTATCCCAGACTTCTCTCTCTTCTTCAGTCCAGGGGCCAACCCAAGCATACTGCCAGACAATGTGTTGAATCTGGGCATGGAATGTCAAGACCCATGTGAGTTAATGGCTCGAGAAGCTTTATTATTATTGATAAGCTAAAGCACGTAGAAGTCAACAGACCGTCAGAGCAAACAAGCAAAATTATATATAACTGCAAATCAAGTTTTTCTTTAAATTCTGGCTACATTATTATGACCCTGGCAAATGTGTTTTAATTTGGTTCTTGATCTCCATGGCAACAGGATAGGTAAAATACCATACGTATTTGATGACAACTGTAGCCTATACCAATGATCTGTGGAGGAATAAATCATTCTATCAGTTGGATAGTACATTTCAGCCTCACTTTCTGATCCATAACTGCCTAAGTAGTTGCAAGTCCAAATTAAATAATAAAATATGAACAGGAGCATATAAATAATAGAATATATCACCTGGCTTGTTGGGTTTTTCTGAGCAAACTGGACTTTTTTGTTTAAGGTCGTTTACTTTTTTTTAATTTTTTGGCTGCGTTGGGTCTTCGTTGCTGTGCGTGGGCTTTCTCTAGTTGCAGCGAGCGGGGGCTACTCTTTGTTGTGGTGCACGGGCTTCTCGTTGCGGTGGCTTCTCTTGTTGTGGAGCACAGGCTCTAGGGCGAGTGGGCTTCAGTAGTTGTGGCACACGAGCTTAGTTGCTCCACGGCATGTGGGATCTTCCTGGATCAGGGATCAAACCCATGTCCCCTGCATTGGCAGGCAGATTCTTAACCATTGCGCCACCAGGGAAGTCCAAACTAGACTTTTTCTACATGGAAAAAAAGAATTCTTCATGGGTACTGACTGCAAATTTTTAGAAGAAGGCAACACACCTAAAATATTAAAATGGGCAAAGAAATTATACACGTATCTTGTAGATAGATCAGGAGCCCTTACGAATGCTCTTTGGGTTATTGCCAGATTTTTACCCAAAAGGAGGCAACAGACTTGCCAGGATGAATTATCCTTACTTGAGTATTGAAGGAAATTGTGACTCTGGAAGGCAAAAAAACTAGGGAACATTTTGGGTT